TAGCACATTGGTCCATAGACTGTATTTTAAATCTCTCGCAACGTAAAAGAAACTACCAGAAAATATTTGGTGAAAAAGAATATTATTACTATAGCTAGAAAATATATTACCTGAATTTTTGATGTGATTATATAAGGATATAAGGAAAATAAGCCTTTTTCAAGACATATAGTCTTAATATACGGAAAATAAGAAATTACGTCGGACTCTTTATATACAACTAGACGAATGGCCCGGGCAACGCCCGGGTTTTATCCGAGTGCGGATATGTTTTTACAACGTTGTCTTGGGTGGTCGCTATAGACAGGGTGGTCTGTATAGACAGGTGAATGTAACACACAGCTGATAACAGGGTTGTCTAGAGTGGCCGCTATAGACAGGGTGGTCTGTATAGACAGGTGGATGTATCACACAGCTGATAACAGGGTTGTCTAGAGTGGCCGCTATAGACAGGTGTATGTATCACACAGCTGATAACAGGGTTATCTGGAATGGCCGCTATATACAGGGTGAACAATGGTTTGAATAAAACGATAACACCACCTCTACTTCTATGTTGTGAAGATCTCTCCTTTTTTTTTTTAATAGGGGGCTTTCTGTTATAGCCAACTGTGGATGAGTGAATGATGGAGAGTGAATTTATCATCATAGCGTATATAGGGACATTATTTTCTTGGAGGAAAGTCTTTGACAAGGGGTGGTGGAATCTTGGAGTCAGTCACAAAAATTGTAGTCCAAGGTCTGCTGGCGATCTTGAGTTCGTCTTCCCTAAACTACCAAGCATATCCACCAAAATGTCACGTGAAAATGTATAAAGACAAACATGTGTGTGAGGATAACAACGCAATTTATTTTGATCAAAACAATCACCAATTTATTAACAACAATTAATACATAGATACAATGAGCGAAATATGCTGAGTAACAAACTATCTATAAATTACTCTTTTTTTAATTAAAAATTAACGCATAATATTAACGCAGATGCTACATACACAAAAAGCCTAATTAAGATAATTAGTTTCATACATGGATTTTTATGACGAGTTATAGGAAAACAAAACTATGTGAGAAGAACACAGATATTTGCATATAAGATACATGCATACATATAAGACTTTATTAAGAACTTTCGTCTTATGCAAAAGTTCTTCAATCGAAGATAGCAAGGAGTTGAAATTGACACGAATAATGTATACCCCAACTCTACTCACAATATACATACTTACATATACACAATATGTCTGATATTGAACAGCACCGCATTGCGGCTCTTCTTAGCTGAGAAAAAGGAGACGAGGATCAAGAAAAAAAAATAGTTTTAAAATTGGTGAAACAGGACTTTTGTCTACAGTATTTGCATTCATAGTTGACAAACAGAAATATAAGCGGTGAAAGGTGAGAAAATTGAAAATAATATTAAGTCTTGAATGTGTGTGTGTGTTATAAATATTGTCACAGAATAATTATTGGAAATACTCTGTTGTCAGTTTATCATCATAAATATTGCCACGTGGAAAATTAATAAGGCAAGAACAAACTATGAATGATAAACAAAAGATAAGCAAAGAGGGAAGTTTACAAAGTAGCAAAATATAAACATAAAAAATGATACTCTGTTAATAAAATAATAAATACTTTGTTACAATATTTGTCTAGTCATTACACCTTACCATGCTTGTAGATTATCACTTGTAAAATTAATTGACACATTTTGCATTTCTATAGATTTAATTAATAAATTATTTTTAAATTAAACTTTTGGAATACAGTGGACCCTCGGTTTGCGAGCATAATCCGTTCCAGAGCCATGCTCGTACTCTCCAAAACGCTCGTAGTGCGAAACTAATTTCTTATTTTTAATAATTGAAACTCGGGCAATTCTTCTTGCTACGAACAATTGCACAGTTTCCCACATTTTACATATTTCCCGAATCTTATCTGAAGGGAGGGATCCCAGTGAATTTTCATCCATCACGATTACGGGCAACCATCACGAGTTGCTCGTAATGCGAAATTTCACTCGTAATCCGAGGTAAAATTTTTCAAAAAATTTTGCTCGTACTGCGAAAAGCTCGTACTCCAAGGTGCTCGTAAACCGAGGGTCCACTGTACTTGTCTTCTCTAACGCGGCGGTTCTCCAGATATACAGCATCGATACTTAGGATGTGAATACACGAAGAAGAAAATTAATGAAGCTATTGAAGCTTGCAAGAATGTCAACCCGGTTTACAGCTTCAGTCCAGTCAACTACATTCTCGACCGCGACAAGCTAGAAATACGTCGTATTTTAAACAAGATGAAATACGAAATCTACAAGTATTTTATAGATATCGAATTTAATTGTACCCCCTCCCCCACTAACAATAGAACTGTAACGACGTTTTTTGACTGAATAAAGATCGTTTTTATTGTGATAATATAAATAAATTGGGCGATTTCGCATTAGTGAAACATGCTACCAAATCTCTTTAGATCAAGTATAGGTCAAGTAAAACCAAATTCAAGTTTAAATTACAACAATAAAAAAGAGTATTTGGATCTATCCAACATGGAAGACAACAAACATAGGTTTGAAATCCCAGGAATTCAGCTAGATATCCCCCTTCACCCCCGGGACCCACGATGTCGCAACCCACCGACTGTCCCCTAACGGAATTCAGGAGTCGGCCGCGAAGGTCGCCATGGAATCCTCATGTCGAAATGGAATCCCCCTCCCACCCCTTTTTTTTCCTCCCCTCTCGCAACAGGGATTGTGGAAAATTTTCAAGTTCACCCCCTTATCTCCCGTTAGGACCTGGAAAGTTCCTACTTTATACTCAGCAGACAATCCATTTCTTGAATGTACTCTAGATGTTTGCCTAAATACTTTAGTCTTCTCATTTCAGAGTGTATAAGAATTTCAGAAATACCTTTTAATTATATGAATTTTACAAAGTTTCTTTAAAAATTATATATTTTTCAGCGATATAGATGGGGCCTATATTTTAAGTCTTAAAAAATCCTTTCTTTGAAAGTTATTATATACATTTGTGTCCATTTTTATACACAACTTTGATTTCTAATTTCTCACTCGCGATGACAATGCAACTATTTATTGGACCATAATTTTATATTATAAACCGATGACAAGTTCGATTAAAAAGATGTATAAGCACTAGATATAGATCAGAGTTTATTTTAAAACAATAAGGTTTCAACGAACTTTTAATATATTTATTTATATATTTACTGTAAAATACACCTATCCCCCGATTTACACGGTACTTGTTTTACACGTTTTCGCTTTTACACGGTTTTCCGAATAAGTTTTTTTTTTGTTTTTATCGCACTATACTAAATGCGACTGTGATTGAACACATGCGCTGTGTACACATCTCACGAGGAATCCCGAGCTTATGTGCTGACTACATATTTTAACCTGTCAATGCATTTTATTTTTATTTCTTTGTACACCTATCCCCCGATTTACACGTTTTTCTCAGGAACGTTTCTACCGTGTAAATCGGGGGATAGGTGTATTTATTCATATATTTTTTTTATTGTAAAATATAAGAAAATACAGTTAAACCTGTCTATAGCACCCCCTCTTAGGACTCACCAAAATAGGGAGCTATAGAGAGGGGGTGTTATAGACAGGTCACTTTTAATGTAAAATGTTTACATTTTAATGCTTAAAATCGGACTCTATAGAGAGAAAGGCGCTATTTAGAGGGGGCGCTATATACAGGTTTAACTGTATATAGCTATGATGATATTTGAAACTATTTAATTCATTCTGATGGTTAAAACTTCAAGGGTTTGTTAGAGATAAAGAAGACCTGAAAAATTATATTATTTCTTCCTCCTTAGAAGTCTTCTCTAACCAATCTTTCCAAATATTTTGTTTCAACTCTCAATGGGATCTCAGTTGAAATCATGTATCATACACACAGACATGCTATTTATGTCAATATAAAAAAGGCTATGATCCATATCAAGTATTTATACGCCTTTTTAATCAAGCATATCACCGTTTTATTATTATAAATGACCCAATGTGAAAAAAAAATAGTTTCAAACAATTGCCTTGCCATCGCGAGTAAGCAATTGAAATTGGAGATCGAGTGATCAAAATATATGAAACCTTTCAAATGAAACTTTTTGCATAATAATACACAATTAGAGATTATAGGACGGAAGGGATATATTTTGAGAGGATAGGGGTGAACCATTTATCAAAATATAAAACCTGTTGATCGATCTCTTCGCTTTAATTTGGATTTAAGTGGAGTTCAAAATAAACGAGAAATGCACATATAATTATTTACATAATGTACTTTCAGATACAAATCAGTACATCTTGGATAGAAAACATGATGTAATAATTTCCGTTTATTTTTCGATTCTAGATGTGCTGTTTGAATCTTGAATCAACAACAACAACAACAAAAAGCCTTTATTGGGGCCACTCGCCCTATACAGGATTCGCCAGTTCACAAGGGATAGGGAGAACACTGTGAGGCCTTTTTCCGGGATATAGTCTTGTGGAATCCAAATATCGCCATCGCTATATACCTATTCTTTGATATTTCATTAATCAGTGCCGGAAATGAAGGACAAAGTTGCCCCGTTTTATCATTTAATTTTCGTCTTTCCTCAGACAGAGCAGCACAGTCAAATAAGTAATGCAACATCTCCGTTGTTATTCCTGATCCACAGAAAGTGCATTTCAGGTCTTCACGCTTCAATAAAATCAAATGGTGTTCTCTGAAAAAAATTGAAAGGGTTCTAAATTGTGCAATTAATCTGATGATAGGAAAAGGGAGTTCAGTTATGAAGTATTCTTCGGTGGTAAAGGTTGTATATATGTCTCTATAGTGGGAATATAACTTTGATTGGGTTATTCTTGTTAGGTCGTTTTGTATTGTTTGCTCTATCGCAGTTCTTAATATTCCAGGGATAGCTGAATCTTGAATCTTATGGATTGAGATATTAAAAAAAAAAAAGATATGTACTTTATCAAGGTAAACTTTAGCCTAGTGGACATGGCATCTGCCCGGTAAGCGGAACTCTCTGGGTTCGTTTCCCATCCCTGGACATCTTTATTTTTCCGTACATCATTACTCTTCACAATTTATCCTTTCATACTTCATCCTTAAGGTTAGAAATAATCGTTATTTCTCCTTAAAATAAATTTAGATTTTTCGTTCAAAAGAAACCCATGCGGGATAATTTTTAAATGTCGTTCTACAGTTTATATATACGATTGGTTGCGTCGTTCTAGTCCTGTTCGTTGAACGGGTCATTCCTCTAACATAGCTATCATTGGTAGTCTTTTTGTATCGATCACCCATTGTTTATGAAGCTGTCTTATGTCATCGTATCGTGTCGCGTTTTTCCCACCGCTAGGTGTCCCCCACATCACTGGTCAGATGATAGCTGGTGAATGTACCAACAAAGAGATTAAATCCAGATAGTGCGAGCAAGAGAGATAACTCGTTAGTTAGCATTTTCTCTGTTTTTTATTGCGTTTATTATGTTTGCAGCAACTTTATAGAATTGAACAGGGAAGGAACAATGCCGGGAACTGTCCACGCACAGAGATAGACATCTAAGGATCCCATGTTGAATGACATGTTCTATCAAGGAAGGAACAATGCCGGGAAATATGTCCACACACAGGGAAAGAGGTCTAAGGATCCCATGTTGAATGACATGTTCTATCAAGGAAGGAACAATGCCGGGAAATATGTCCAAGCACAGAGAAAGAGGTCTAAGGACCCCGTGTTTAATGATCTGTTCTATCAAGGAAGGAACAATGCCGGGAAATATGTCCACGCACAGAGAAACAGGTCTAAGGACCCCGTGTTGAATGATCTGTTCTATCAAGGAAGGAACAATGCCGGGAAATATGTCCACGCACAGAGGAAGAGGTCTAAGGACCCCGTGTTGAATGATCTGTTCTATCAAGGAAGGAACAATGCCGGGAAATATGTCCACGCACAGAGAAACAGGTCTAAGGACCCCGTGTTGAATGATATGTTCTATCAAGGAAGGAACAATGCCGGGAAATATGTCCTCGCACAGAGGAAGAGGTCTAAGAATCCCGTGTTGAATGATCTGTTCTATCAAGGAAGGAACAATGCCGGGAAATATGTCCACGCACAGAGGAAGAGGTCTAAGGACCCCGTGTTGAATGATATGTTCTATCAAGGAAGGAACAATGCCGGGAACTGTCCACGCACAGAGGAAGAGGTCTAAGGACCCCGTGTTGAATGATATGTTCTATCAAGGAAGGAACAATGCCGGGAAATATGTCCACGCACAGAGAAAGAGGTCTAAGGACCCCGTGTTGAATGATCTGTTCTATCAAGGAAGGAACAATGCCGGGAAATATGTCCACGCACAGAGAAACAGGTCTAAGGACCCCGTGTTGAATGATCTGTTCTATCAAGGAAGGAACAATGCCGGGAAATATGTCCACGCACAGAGGAAGAGGTCTAAGGACCCCGTGTTGAATGATATGTTCTATCAAGGAAGGAACAATGCCGGGAAATATGTCCACGCACAGAGAAACAGGTCTAAGGACCCCGTGTTGAATGATCTGTTCTATCAAGGAAGGAACAATGCCGGGAACTGTCCACGCACAGAGAAAGATGTCTAAGAATTCCGTGTTGAATGATATGTTCTATCAAGGAAGGAACAATGCCGGGAAATATGTCCACGCACAGAGAAACAGGTCTAAGGACCCCGTGTTGAATGATCTGTTCTATCAAGGAAGGAACAATGCCGGGAACTGTCCACGCACAGAGAAAGATGTCTAAGAATTCCGTGTTGAATGATATGTTCTATCAAGGAAGGAACAATGCCGGGAACTGTCCGCGCACAGGGAAAGAGATCTAAGGATCCCGTGTTGAATGATCTGTTCTATCAAGGAAGGAACAATGCCGGGAACTGTCCACGCACAGAGGAAGAGGTCTAAGGACCCCGTGTTGAATGATCTGTTCTATCAAGGAAGGAACAATGCCGGAAAATATGTCCAAGCACAGAGGAAGAGGTCTAAGGACCCCGTGTTGAATGATCTGTTCTATCAAGGAAGGAACAATGCCGGGAACTGTCCACGCACAGAGAAAGAAGTCTAAGGATCCCGTGTTGAATGATCTGTTCTATCAAGGAAGGAACAATGCCGGGAAATATGTCCAAGCACAGAGGAAGAGGTCTAAGGTCCCCGTGTTGAATGATCTATTCTATCAAGGAAGGAACAATGCCGGGAAATATGTCCACACACAGAGAAATAAGTCTAAGAATCCCGTGTTGAATGATCTGTTCTATCAAGGAAGGAACAATGCCGGGAAATATGTCCAAGCACAGAGGAAGAGGTATAAGAATCCCGTGTTGAATGATCTGTTCTATCAAGGAAGGAACAATGCCGGGAACTGTCCAGGGACAGAGGAAGAGGTCTAAGAATCCCGTGTTGAATGATCTGTTCTATCAAGGAAGGAACAATGCCGGGAACTGTCCTCGCACAGAGGAAGAGGTCTAAGAATCCCGTGTTGAATGATCTGTTCTATTAAGGAAGGAACAATGCCGGGAACTGTCCACGCACTGAGAAAGAAGCTACGGATGTAAACAAGAGAAGGTCCCAGAGGTGGGTGTCCCCCAGTCTCCCCCTGGTGACAAAGGGGCGACAAACTCCCCCCTCAAAGGGTTGTTTGTCCCCCCAGAATGGCCATCCGTCCCACTAAAAAATCTCGTGTTTCACCCACTTCCTGCGGGGAGAAAGTGAGTTTCTCCCCGGAAATCGCTAAGGGTCAGCCATTGTGGGAGTCCGTCCAGGTAATCCCATTATTTGGCGAGATGTCCTACCAGCTGCGGCGTGGGCTAACTGGATTTCACTCCTGGACGCCTCGGACCTTTGTGCGGCCTCTACCGCACCATTTTCCGGACACTGGACCAGCGAAGACTTCCGATACTTGATTAAGTCCACCTGGATGATCTGAGAACAGAATGACCAGCCCTTTCTCTCTAGTCTTCCACTTCAATTCCTTCTTCGAATGCTCTATAAACCTCCTTTTGACGCCCCCTCTCATAAGCGCCTATCCCCTCCTTCAAACGTCATTTTTATTAGTTTCAATTTATTTTATTGGAATTATTACTTATTAGATTAACCTAGGTCTTTTGAAAAGTATATTTTTCCTAAGATTCCTTCCTCTTATCATTTAATCGACTCATTTTTTAAAATAAATATTAATTTGAGGAAGGTAAAGTCATCCATAGGAGATCACTTAATTTCGAAGCGTTTATTTTAGATCAAATTTTGATTATTTTTCAGAATCTTCCAATATTTCGCCGTTGCTCTCTCTTTCCAAGTCATCAATTCACAGGTTCTTTCTGAACCTTGAGATGAGGGGAGAACGTGACTTACTGTCTGGACTCTTTGTCGTTGTCTCCTGGATTTTACATAACTCTATACATATAAAATGAAAGGATTTAAAAGCACGAATGTTTCTTTTATACATAATACAAACTTCTACTGCCCTTACTGCGATGAAAAAATATATTGGGAGGGCTTGGCTCATCAGTGGTGAACCCTCCCAGCGGTTTCGCCAATTTAATCCACCAGACCGCCTCTCAGAGCTCTAATACTGTATTGGACGATTCTGCTTATATACGCAGCACTGAAGGATGGAATCTCAGAAATGGTTTTCAAGAAAAATATGGACATAAGCTTATAGGACAGTAGAATTACATTCAAATATTTATACCCTTTATGTCCATATTTTTCTTGAAAACTATTTCTGAGATTCCGTCCTTCAGTGCTGCGTATATAAGCAGAATCGTCCAATACAGTATTAGAGCTCTGAGAGGCGGTCTGGTAGATTAAATTGGCGAAACCGCTGGGAGGGTTCACCACTGATGAGCCAAGCCCTCCCAATATATTTTTTTCATCGCAGTAAGGGCAATAGAAGTTTGTATTATGTATAAAAGAAACATACGTGCTTTTAAATCCTTTCATTTTATATGTATAGATGGCGCGTTATTGCTTTGTGATAACTCTATATAGTTTACTTTTTTATTCTATCCCTCTTTTATTTTATCCCTCTTTTTATAATTATTATATACTACCACCATTGACTTGTGTATGATGTCAAAAAAATATTTTTAAATCTCAAAATCTCTCTCTCTCGCTGGTTTATCGCCCCTTCTGATAGCACCACTATAGTATATATTTCTAATTATTATTTTAAAACAATAGTTCAGACCGTGCGCACTTTTGCATGTATTGACAAGATGTCAATAGAATGATGTCAATTGTCTAGAACAACTCTCTGCTAGTAAATCTATTCATTGGATCACACACACACACAAGACAATCAGGAATTTTATATAATAGATTTATAGTATAATTGCTTTTTTAAAATTGCATTCCTTTATTTAAAAAACTAATTCGATTTGCACCATTTGTCTAATTTATTGTTCACATTCTATTCAACACCCAACCTCACTAAAGTCTCCCTGTTTGACCGTTCCTTTGAGTGGTCGCTGAGACTTTACTGTGTTTCACATAGCTTCATGTCTGTGTTAACCTCTAAGCAACACATCATCAAAATGCTAAACCTTCAATTACAGACTATTTTAGCAAAACGACAGCAAGACATTAGGAACAAAACTTCTGGGAAGGTTCACAACTGATGAATCAGGCCTCTTAAATATGTTTCATCTTCGATTCAGTAATAGGGATGATGTTGAAAACAATTGCCTTAAAATTATATTTAGCGCATACACACATACTCTATTGCTCATATCTGTCTGAGCAACATTGTAGGTATAGGTAATTATTCTCTTTTCAAGGAATCCTTCTCTTTGTACCCAGAATCGTGATTTTGATTAAATTTTCAAATTTTTATGACACAATATGCAATCGTCATTTATTTTTATAAAAATACCCATTATAATACCCACTTCTTCCATCCATATTTCCAAATTTATATTCTTATTTTCCATAGGATCATTCAAATAATAATCTGTATATATTTACCGTGTGTATATAATCTTTCTCCATTTTTACCCCTTTGTATATTTCCCACTTTCATAGGTT